TATACTTTATTCTTACACTTCTCCTTATGTGTCTACTATTTATTGCCATCAGGAAAAAGGTATTGGATTAGATCATCTTTTGATCTGACTTAATATAGCTGTTCTTTTGGTCTTTTCTCCTTTTCTGGTATGTTGAGATAATTTTTTCTTCTTCCCTGGAGCTCTTGGCTAAAGAATGCCCAGCCCTCTGGGAGCAGTACACGTGCACCTTGCTCGTTGCATAGGGCTGCTTAATGCAGTCAGGCTCTTCAGAGACTTCATCTGTCAAAATCTTTCCAGTTCTTGACAGCAGACTTCACTGAGGGTTTACAGAGATTTGAGATTTGATCAAATTTGTGCTAACGGCATATATCTACTATGTTCTTCCCACTTTCGAACTTTTGCACTAGAGCATAAAATGTGGGGCATATAATCAACTGCAAGATTCTTTTATTAGAACCAGAAAATCACATTTTCTTTCAAAAACGTTTTGCTCTTTTTACTTTAAAACAATTAGTGAGACACAGATGCTTGCTCTGAAAAAATATTTCACTATAATTAGTTAATTAATTAATTGAAAAATGTGATGAGCAAATGAAAAATAAGGTTTCATACTGGAAGGTGTTGGACAGGTTTAATATAATGTGTCACTCACATACACCATCACTTTGAGTTGTGCTGGCTTCTAAACCAGACAAGTTAGTGTGAACTTCCAGGGCTCACAGTCTGTAGAACAGTGCAATTTAAATCCCATTTAGTTTAGTAAGCAAGATGCAGAACTGCACTGAGGCACTGGGGTGAAGAAGATACAGAGGGAGAAAGAAAGAAAATAAGGAAACCAGGCTTACAAGCTTGTGCTGTTCATGACTATCCAATAAGTTGAATCACGGCCAGGTTCAGATACATCAGGTAGAGGTACACACAGATAAACTCCTATGTTAGTTCTACGTAGTAATTTCTTGGGGGCTGGGTTGAGAGAAGGAGAGAAGACTTCATGAATCATCTGAAGCCATTTTTTGGTACTACATGCTATTGAGAGATTGAACACTTTGTAGACTAGCCCAGCAAATATTAACTAACTTTGCCATGCAACATACTAGGTCTGACCAGACAGTCCACAACCCCCAGCCTGCCAAACATGCAACAGGAGGTAGAGCAACAGACAAGGGATGGCAGCCACAAGACATGGCACGGTGCCATAGGAAACAAGGCTTCGTTACAGCTGCAAACTGAGAAACTTCTTGCTGCTCATACACCTCAGTGGAGTCCTGTAGTCTAGGTTTAAATCCCTGTCTTGTTGAGAGGTATTCTGCATATACAGTATGTAAAGATGCCAATAATAAATTTCTCCTTGTGGTGGGGAAAAAAAGTTTTCCCCCTGGAGTTAAAAAAATGGTAACCCCCCGAGGGGGTGGTGTACCTTGGGGTTGAGCCAATCAGCGCTCCTGCAAAATATAGACATATCACAACCAGACCGGAAAAGAAGGTTGATGAGGTAGTTGGAAGAGAGTGGCCATGTTCTGAGACCACAAGTTGAGAGAGAGAGGGGTCTGGAGCCCTACTGGGGGCTGCCCCCCCCCACCCCTGCCAGCCCTCGGCTGGGGTCATAGAAACTCGGAAACAGTGTTAAACTGGACCAAGGTCTATAGCTGAGAAACTGGGAGATTTTATCCACTGTGAGTGGGCAGCAGGAGCAGCGGCGGAGGCAGCAGTGAACGGAGGCTATGGCTTAAAGCCAAGAGATAAGGAGAAACAGCAGAGATGGCATGCAGCAACACAGAGAGAACTCCTGCAAGGAGAAAGAGAGAGGACTAAGCTCTACAGAGACAGAGTTTTGGGGTAAGAACTGAGCCAAACCTCCCAAACCCCCTTTTGCGACTCCTCCTAGGATGAGGGAAATGGACTCCAGCTTGAGAGAAGTCTTGGAGTGCTGCAGCACCAGAGAGAGGAGCTAAGAAGCTCAGAGACGTCCCAGAGCTGGACCAGAAAGGCCAGAAGGAACGCAGAGGGAGTGACCTTGGCCCCCCTGCTGCTACTGCCAAGCTGGCAGTTTTGAGACAGAGCACAGGAGGTCTGGTAGAACTCTTGAGGCAAAGACTTTCAACTGAAAGCTGCCCGAGACATTCTGACTCAGAGGTAAATCCCCTGAGGAAGGGACTTTCACGAAGATGCCCCTGCACTTCCTCATATGGCCGTGGTGAAGCGAGTTTTGTCCCTGCTGGCAGTCCATGGGCGAGACCTTCTATTGGAGCCAAAGGGCTGAGAAGGGGAGAGGAGACTCCCCCTTGTGTGTATTGGACGGAGATTCCAACTGCGACAACTCCAGCTACAACACTGCTGCCCTGAGAGTAGAGAGGATCTTTCCTTTTCCCTTCTGGACTTTTATTGGAGGGAGAAGAGATTGATCCATTGTAAATACTGATTTATCATAGGGGAGATAGTTAAGATTATGTATATACTGTATTATAATATTTATTTGTATAGTGATTGTAAGATAATTCCCTTCCCCCCATATCAAGTCTTGTGTTGTGTCTGGAAAACCCATCTCACACTAGGTTGAGATGTGAGAGGGGGGCTTGGACTTGGGAATTGGATTTTAGGGGTCTCAAACCACGACACTCCTAGTCCTTCTTTTTGCGTTGCCAACCTAGTTTTTTTGTGGGAACTATTTCTTAATGGATATTAATGTAGTGTAGATCACATTATGATTATGATGGCATGTGAGGCCTATATATATATATATGTATCAGAAATGAAAGTAATCTGGTGAATACATGATGTAAGTGGGTAAGTGAGAAGAAAGAAAATAAAATATCCAGATCTGATATTATTTATTCAAACATTTTCCACTGGGAAATATCTCTTGATATGCCTAATCTACACATCTAGCACTGTGGCCTAATCTAGCCTGTTTCTTGTGAAATGCTGTTAAAAGAAACTGTGTTTCAATCAAGTTCATGTAGCCAAATGGGTTGAAGAACCCAGCAGAGTTGCAAACTCATTGTTTATAAAGGAAAAAAAAGTCAGCCTTGCGGAGAAAAGAATAATTTCTCTTATCTTAATTTTGGGGTTTTGATTCTCATAACAGATAAAACAAGTCATTGGGAAAATGGGAAATTCAATGGGAAAAACATAGTTCGGTTCTCTTTTCTTTCTAACTCCAGATCCCAGTGTCTGTTTTCAAAGAACCTCATTTTGGCCCATAAACCAAAAAGAATTTGGACATTATACCACATTGGAATAAGTCTTTGTGACAAAGAGGTATTCAAAGCTCAATGAAGCAGGAAGGATGTTAAAACTGGTATACCCAACGTGTCTCTGTGCATTCCTGAGATATATAGCTATATATTTTTTATTATTAATACTAATAGAGGCAGGGCACGGGTGCAGCAGGCCTTAGTTTCTGTCTTTGGGGACTTTCATCTTTAATATAGTCTCTTAAAAATACATGCATTGCTACATTTTTCATTACCCTTAATTTTTTCATCAATCACGTTAATTTATACAGGGGGCACTTAATAATAGCTAATTAACACTTATGACTTTTTAAATTAAAAGACCTTTGGAGAGATTACTGATGATTGCGAAAAGGTTTTTCTTCCTCCCATTAAAAAGAGAAAGAAAGAGAGACTGAAGATCTGGCTCGGGCGTATGAGGGGAACTTCTCTCTTGCTTCACTGATCACACAACAAATGAAAACAGCAAAGGCCTGTGCAAAGGCAATACTGCTATTAGCCTACACTCCTGAAACGTGCCATTATTTTAACTGATTATTAAGCAGCATATATATTATTCAGAGTGACCTTTAAATAGCTGAAAATTAAATTATAATTTACTGGGGAGATATCTAAACCCATGTAGCTATTATTAACAAAAAAAAAAAAAAAAAAAGACCATGATCTCATACAATGTCCTGAAAATATATTTTTATTATTACCAAATGAAGTGAAGAGAGAAAAAGCATTGAATTTTGACAGTGAGAAGGCTCTCATGGATTGAAATAATATTTTTTAATAACCCCCCTGTTACTGCAGTGAGAAACAGCCTATGTTTAATTTTTGACTGCAACCACTTTTAGATATATTAGGCAGTGGTTTGGAGGCAGCAAATTTGCAGATGACACTAAGTTGGGGGGAGTGTTGATCAGCTGGAAAGCAGGAGGGCTCTGCAGAGGGACCTGGACAGGCTGGAGAGTTGGACTGATTCCAATGGGATGAGGTTCAACAAGGCCAAATGCCGGGTCCTGCACTTTGGCCACAAGAACTCCCTGCAGCGCTACAGGCTGAGCACAGAGCAGCTGGAGAGCAACCAGACAGAAAGGGACCTGGGAGTTTGGATTGACAGGAAGCTGAACATGAGCCAGCAGTGTGCCCAGGTGGCCAAGAAGGCCAAGGGTATCCTGGCCTGTATCAGGAACAGTGTGGCCAACAGGTCCAGGGAAGTGATTCTTCCCCTGTACTCAGTGCTGGTGAGGCCACACCTCGAGTACTGTGTCCAGTTCTGGGCCCCTCAGTTCAGGAAGGATATTGAGGTGCTGGAGCAACAAGGCTGGTGAAGGGACTTGAGCACAAGTCCTCTGAGGAGAGCCTGAGGGAGCTGGGGCTGTTCAACCTGGAGAAGAGGAGGCTCAGGGGAGACCTCATCACTCTCTACAACTCCCTGAAAGGAGGTTGTAGCCAGGTAGGGGTTGGTCTCTTCTCCCAGGCAACTATCAGTAAGATAAAAGGGCATGGTCTTAAGCTCTGCCAGGGGAGGTTTAGGTTGGATATTAGGAAGAAATTCTTTAAAGAGAGGGTAATCAGGCATTGGAATGGGCTGCCTAGGGAGGTGGTGGATTCGCCATCCCTGGAGGGTTTTAAGATAAGACTGGATGTGGTACTTAATGCCATGGTCTAGTAACCACAGCGGTAGTGGATCAAGGATTGGACTTGATCTCAGAGGTCCCTTCCAACCCAACTGATTCTATGATTCTATGATTCTATGATTGAATGATTCTATGATTCTATGACTCACACCACTTTTCTTGTCTAGTAATGACAGTGTGATTCCTTCCTTTAAAAAAAATGTTTCTCAAAATTAAGTATATGTGCTAAACACTTCCAGTGTTCTATAAATCTCAATTATCTGGCCAGAAAACTTTGTTTTAAAGCAGCAGTGAGGGCTTTTTGTTGGTTTTGTGATTGTTATTGTTACTGTTATAATAATTATTACTATAATAATAATAATAATATTTTAAGATGATGATCATGATGATGATGATGATCATGATTATCGTTATCATTATTATTATATACCACCAACAGGTGTCTCCATTTCCTGACAGACCCCACAGAAATACCCAACATCTGTAACACCTGTAAAATCCCACATCCGTCTGATGATGGCAGGAGGAAATCCAGTCTAGAAGGACAATACTCCACACCTGAGGTAACCTCTAACCACCTCCTTTGCAAGTGGTCTCCATTCAGCTTCTCAGGGGCCTGAGGGAAGTCCGTCTGAGGCGCCTGAAGCTTCCTCCCACATCCACCCAAGGCCGTACTGTTTTTGCTCTTTATCAGTGAGTATATATGGCTGCCAGTAGCAAATGCTGTTTATGGATGTCTTTCCTAGATAATATGAAGGCAGGCTCATGCAGTGTAAAAAGACCAACATCATTCCTGTTTAAGAGGTGCTCACTCTTTTTTTAGGTACGTAGCAATGTACCCTGGCAGCAGAATTTTGTAGTCTGCATCTCATTTTAAGGCCTGTGTTTCATAGGGTCTGCCTATCATGAATTTAAATTGCATGGGATGGTTTTCTGCTACACATCAGACTCAATAAAAATTGAAGCCACAAACATACTGATGGGATGGATTAAAAAATCCAAATGCATTAATGAAGCTGATTGAACATAATAGTCTCTGATTAATAACCTCCTATGAATTGATTTTTGAATTTTTGGTATCATTTCAGCAGTTAAATACAACTGCACAAGACTATATACTCTCAGAGATCATAGAATCACAGAATGGCCTGTTTTGGAAGGGGCCTTAAAGATCATCTAGTTCCAACACTCCTGCAGTGGACAGAGTCATTTTCCACTTGACTAGGTTGCTCAGTGCTCCTTCCAACCCGGCCTTGAACACTTCAAGGAATGGGGCATCCACAGCTTCTCTGAGCAATCTGTTCCAGTGCCTCACCAACATCACAGTAAAGAATTTTTTTCTAATATCTAATCTAAATCTATTCTCTTTCAGTTTAAAGCCATTCCCCCACATGCCCTTGCAAATAGTCTTTCTCCATCTTTCTTGTAGGCTCCCTTCAGGTATTGGAAGGCATAATTAGGTTAACCTAAAGCTTTTTCTTTTCCAGACTGAACAATTCCAATTCTCTTTGCCTTTTGTCATAGGAGAGGTGCTCCATCCCTCTAATCAACTTGGTGGCCCTCATATATTGAAGTTCACATGCAAAGTCAGTCTACAACATTGATAATCATAAATTAGGAAGAACAATTAAGAAAATAAAAAAATGCAGCTATCCTGGATATACATGTATTGCGTCACAAAATTAATAAAATAGTCGTCTTTTTTAACTGGAAGTCTAAGAACAACTGAATTTCAAACTTAAATTGCTTTTTTACTCGGGATGTACCTACTTTTATATTTAAAGGAGTGCATTCTTTCCACACATGAGAATTGTCTTCTGAAAGAGCACAGCGGAATTGATGAAACTGTTCCAGTGCCCAACCACACTCTGGGTGAAGAACCTTTTTCTAATATCCAAGCTAAACCTCCTTTGACACAGCTTCAGGCCATTCCCTTGGGTCCTGTCACTGGTCACCACAGAGAAGAGATCAGTGCCTGCCCCTCCTTTTCCCCTCACAAGGAAGTTGTAGCTGCAGTGAGGTCCCCCTTCAATCTCCTCTTCTCCAGGCTGAACAGACCAAGTGACCTCAGCCGCTCCTTGTATGGCTTCGCCTCTAGACCCTTCACTATATTCATAGGACACCTTTGGACCCACCAAAAACTTCATATCTTTCTTACATTGTGGCACCCAAAACTGCCACAATATTCAAGGTGAGGCCCCACCAGCGCAGAACAGAGCAGAGCAGAGCAGGACAATCCCCTCCCTTGACTCGCTGGCGATGCTTTGCCTGATGCCCCCTGGGACATGGTTGGCCCTCCTGGCTGCCAGGGCACTGCTGACTCATATTCAACTTGTCATCGACCAGGACCCCCAGGTCCCCTTCTGCAAGGCTACCCTCCAGCCTCTCATCCCCCAGTCTGTACGTACATCCGGGGTTGTCCTGTCCCAGGTGAAGAATCCAGTACTTGTATAACTTCATACAGTTGGTGATTGCACAGCCCTCTAATTTTTTGAGGTCTCTTTGCAGGGCCTCTCCGCCTTTGAGGAGGACAACAGCTCCTCCCAGTTTATTGTTATCTGCAAACTCACTCAGTATACCTTCAAGTCCTGCATCCAAGCCATTTATGAAGCTGTTGAAGAGAACTGGGCTGAGGATGAAGCCCTTCAAAACCCCACTAGTGACCATGACATACAAGGTGATGTCTCAGCTCTCTGCCAGCTCCAAACTGGAGAAAGAAGGCAGCCCACAGGGCTGATAGTTAAGAACACTGCATGCCTGTTCTCCCCTTTTAGTCAAACTTTTCTGCAAGTACTAAGCCACCAAAAAACATATGGGAAAATTGGTCTCAGATGTCAAGACAGTCTTGGAGTTGGGACAGCAGGAGTTAGCAGCAGTGTTATCAGAGGCAACACATGCCAGCATGGCTGTGTGATAGGACTTGAAATGCAGTGAGGACATTTGTTCACTTCTCATCAGAGGAAGGAAGCCAGCCTTTATCAGGAATCAAAGCAGTATAGTAGAAGAAACTTCTCCAAATGGGTAGCAAGGTAATGCAGTATGGCTCTGAAATTGCTGAACATCTTGATGAACTGGAGTAGGATTTACATATAGACAATGTCAAAAAAGCATATTCTTCATAAGGCTTTGCTAGTCTTGATTTTTTACTGTGAGAAAGGTAATAGCAATGCCTCACATAACCTGAGACAAAAATGCAAGGGAAGCTGGAATTCATGGGAATTGGTAGTGTGCTGTCAGAAAAGGGATTTTCCCCCCCATACTATTTTATAAGTAAAGAGCAAAATCACTTTACCAGCTAATTCATCTCTCTCCTTATCTGTTCAACAATGTAAAATCATCATCCATTGTTTTTATGTGATAGCAATAGAAATGGTGAAACCCCTGGTGGATTTCATCAAGTCTTTAGCAAGTCTCCCACTTTTAGGATTAAATGCCACCTTTGTCTCTTTCTGGGAAGTGGGTGGACAATTAAGATTCATAGTAAGTAGACAGTTAAACTTAAGAGAGGGGCTTAAACTACATGGCTCAAAGTGAAGTTTTTCAGAAGGCTTGACTGTTTTCCCTGGAGTCTTAACATCTGTTTGATCTCTACTGGAAGACTACCCACTGTGAGATCCCCTTAACTGAAATGTCCCCAGCATTCATATGCTGCTTCTGGGACTTTGTGAACTGCCTTGTCCCTAGGAAGCACTGCTGTCATGGCAGTGCATAAATCAGAACTGGAACTTTGATGTAAATGGGGCTGGATCCATTAATTGCTTTAAAAGTCTTTGTGATTTGTCTTGTCCCAGAGGACATGCAGTTATAGTGATTCAACGATCATACCATGCTCTGATGTTGCCAGGGCTGGATTCATTATTGCCCGAAATTGTAAGAACAAAGCTTTACATGGACACTGGAAATTAGCCGGGAGTCAGTGCAAGGATGGGATCCATGCTATTTCCTTCTTCAGTCTTAATGAGCCTTAGAAGACCCCAGCAGTTCCTTAGTATAGAGGAGTTTAGTTTTGACAGGTGGGGACACAACAGTCTGGCCAGTTCTTTGCATGTTGCCTCAGCAGCTATAGCCAGCTGCTTCTTCCTGGAGCTAGTTCCTTGGAGATGTTCACACGTTATAAATATTGGGCCTGGGTGTTGCTGGAAGTTTGCGTAAAAATAGCATGTGGCCCTTTTACTGAGCATGTGGCTGCTGCTGTGGTCAAATGGGCTCCCAAACTTCACAGGCACTGCTAGATACCCCAAATTATAGAGGTTTATATTACACTGTGAAGCTTTGTGTCCCACAGGAGAACTGTATGGCACATAAGTCTTGTACTGTTTTGGTTACGATTATGTGTGGCTTTTCTGGATTGCTGTCAGCCTGGTTTGCAAATTATCCAGATAACAGCCTATGAATGACTCTGCCTTCTTGCAAACATGAGGTAGCCTCTCTGCACATCTATTAGTTGTCAAAGTCACAATTCAGCTCTGTACTTAGAGTCTCCAAAACCTTTAAAGATATTTCTGCTCATGGATAGATCCTTGAACTCCAGAGCTCAGGTGACATTGTTCAGAAATTGTATCAGACTTCAGAGTCCAAAGTTGTAGTGTATGTGCAAATTTTAGTCTACTCTGAGGACCAGAAAAACAAGTCTATTACCTTCCTAGGATGAAGTTAATTCATTATACTGTGTAGAGAGGTCACATACATGTAAGAAAGAAATCAGATTCATTTTGTAGCCTGCACAGAAATAATTTTAAAATATACAATGGAAAAATGGGCTACATAATAACAGTAATGAAATCAATAATAGTAAGAGAAATCAGCAATTTCCTTCCATTTTTCAGACTGGGCAAGGAAGAGTTAAAACAGTTTGTACCAATTATTGACTACAAGATCTGCAAATGATTGCATAAAATTTCCAAAATATGCCTGCAAGCTTCTATTATTGATGTTGTGCCCCAGGACATGCACATATGGATTTAATTGTCTAAAGTGTTTTATTAATTAAATTGCTATGATTTACCTCTCCCATGTTAGCATTTACAGTTTATGAAACAGCTCGTAATTAGGAAATGACTCTACTGATGTTGCTTGTTTACTTTGCAAGCAATACATAATAGTGCCACATTCCTCTTTTTAAACCCACCCTCCCAGGCTACCTTTTTTCTAGCCCGATTAATAGGCAACTGCTGTTGGTGCGTTAAATTGCTTTTTGGGTATGTTTAGGGGGGAAGATAACTGCTAGGGTTACTGCTACTATTGCAGTGCACAGCAGCATCCTTTTTTCCTAGACTGAAAGCCTCATCCAGACCTTGACAAAGTTAACAGACATCTTGCACTGGTGTGTTTTCGATCTGTCCCAACAAGCAAAAATGAGGATATTTTTTCCCTAAATACAGCATCATGTTTATTGCAGAACACCCAAAATACTCTAACCAGACATACACTACTTTATTCTGATAAACAAGATTTTGAGTTTTCTTTACTGAATCTCAGAAAGATTTTCTAGAATACTTATGAATAAATGCCCTGAAGCTATGCACAATTGGATTTATTTAAATGAAAAAAGGCTGTAAGTTTTATGCTAAGGAATATTTGCCAATGCGTAGATCGGTATTAGTACATCAAAAGGTTTCTTAGCTGATCTAACTGATAATCCATCTCTGTCTGAAAGTTAGTATTTTTAAGTCTATAATTTAATTCTATACTCTCAAATTTTGTACATCTTTTTGCTTATTTAGAGAATGCAGACACCATATAAATGACCTATATGTATATGCAGAGGAAGAAAGAGTGGAGTGTTATTATAGCAAGCAGTTGG